CTTTAATCGCATTTAAACTTAAATGGGCATTTTTGTGTAAGACATCTTGTCACCTTTTAAATGCGTCACATGGGAGGTAATGTTATCCTTCTGTGTTTTCGCAACAAAATGTTTCTCTGAAGGAGGCTGTTAATGTAGAGCTTCCTAAATAAAAGAGTAAAATGAGAAATATGTTTTATATCTTATATATTAGGGTAATGCAGACTAATTGAACCAGTTTGATTAATCTTCTGTCCTCATACGTCATCATTTAAACAAAATTAGATCAGATTTTGTTCAGATTCACTAGAAAAACCTTACTTAAATAAGCTTTGCCATAAGGACTCCAACTGTAATGAGTAGAGAAATTGGCTGGTGGCCAAAATCAATCGGCCCTAGCCCATGACCGGCTAGTTGGAAACTCAAAAATCTTCTTTCCTTCCATCCATACTAAGTGCTACCAGCTCCCACAGTCAACACTCTTCAGTGTGAACTCTGCTGCTGACTGAAGGAGATTCACTGTTGGCTACTTTCAGTATTAGAGAGCTGTAAAAATGACGTCAGAGGAAGAACAAAAATTTAAGTATTTAAAAGACAACAAAACCAGTGTTTCTGGGACATGTTGTAAGTCTGCGATTTATTAAGACATCAAAGGAGCGTGAGAGAGCCTAACATTCAGCAGATAACACGAAGGCTGAAAAGAGTACAGCCTGCTCTGTTTTGTTCATTTAAACTTACAATCTGTCTTTCTCTTCATACACACAGAGACTCTTTGTTTTTTGGTATTTACTAAGTGTGCTAACCGCTAATATAGTTTGCTAAAAACAATTGAAACTGTCAGCCTTTACTCTTTATGTTAGTAATTAATAATAGGAAGTTCAGACAAAAATTGCAATGATATTATTTTAATAAAGTTTAATTAGAGCAGTTCAACAAACATTGATGTCGGCAGGTCAAACCTGTACAAAACTGGAGACTGAAAATCATCCACAAAATTCTGATTGGTGCATCTCTAGTAGTAAAATATTCAAAAAGCTTTTGAAAATACCTTTAAACACAACTTTCTCCTTAACACACAGGTTTTTAAAATCAAGCAATCTTAACCAAGGACTCTGGCCAATTGTTCGACCAACCAATGGGGCATTCGCTATCTTTACTGCTCTGCACACTTGTGACACAGTAAGTGCATTTTTATCATATTTTGCACTGGCTTTTAAAAGTGCTGCATGCCTGTACCTGCCAAACCCATACATATAAATTCCAGGTGTTAAAAAAGATCTTTTTATTGAAGTCATTTGCTTTATAGTTCCACTGGAACAAACATAGTCATAGCTGTTATTGTCAAAATCTGTGTAAGGTCCATTTTAAAACAAAACGGCAAAAAGAAAATAACCGTGTTATTTTTTTGTTTTTCCGTTTTTGAAACCTAACTGTAATAATGTAATATCGAACTAATTAAAAATCCAGTGTTGAATTTTTGCTTTAGCGATTTAAATCCAACACAAAATATACGACTTATGTTTTAATTTATAGCAATAAAGGTGTACCTTCGAAAACTGCTTCTGTTATGTTTACATGCCGAACTCCATAACAGTTAGTGTTGATGTTAAATATATTCATCGGAAAACATTCTTCAAGTGACGGGATTACGGTGGCACCTTAGCTGGAACAAATTATCTGAATGATGAAAACTTTTCTAAAACCACTAGAATATCTTACCTGTTTTATATATAAAGCTTGTACATATCGATGCCTTAAAACCCTTCATCAGAATATCCTACCTTTATAAAATACAGAGGTAGCACAAGCTGATGCAAGAAATTCCTTCATCAGAATATCTAACTTGAAGAATGAAAGAATCAAACAGTATCAGACAGACTTTTATTGCAAATAAATTAAATAGACATCTACACATACAGGTTATCAGGTCACACTGCACCTGAAATGATAGGGTGGCAGATACAGAACACTCAAAAATATAGAAATGTAGTATAATAATAAGCACAAAGTAGCCCACAAAATAGACCGTGTTTGTCGTGATTTTCGTGGTTGAAGCTGAACAATGTGAACAATGGGTGAGTGCTTGCCTCACACAAGCAGATTCTCCTCACCAGTCTGCTATCCACTAACCCTAACCTCACAGGACTCATACCGAAACCTAAAAAACTCTGTGGAAACACTGCGTAGTGAAATACATCGCCCATGGTGCAACATCGGTGCTGTGTGACCAGGGGAACGGATAATTTCAGGGGAACAGAATTTTGCACAAGTTCTAGGCAGCCATTGCCAGTATATGGCTCTGCCAAAATGGTGAAATAACAAAATGTAAAAAAACATGTCTTTCTTTTAACCGTTAAAATTAGAAAAACACAGACCTCTAATTTCTTATTCTTCATTTTTCTTATTTAATTTTAAAAACATAAAAAATGTCTGATTATTTGTTTTTTCTCGTATTAATTTGAAACTGTAAAACCAAAGAACGAACCATATACAGATTTGTCAAACACCTCTCTTTTATGATACCTCATTCATGCCATGGTTTTGGTGCATTAAAATGTAGCTACACAGAAACTACAAAAGTATATGGGCCAATCAGATCATTTTTCTCAATCTATAATAAAATTATTTACATAAATACAAGACAGCATGTGTTACAAAGAGAAATTATACTCATGTTAACTCTACATATGAATACAACTTTTACTTAATGCCATTTTTTTGGTTTTATTTTTTACTTACAAAATATTTTAATTCCTATTCCTTAATCTTTTCTCCACGTTCCTCTTTCCCATATCTATCATCTTCAGGTGAGTGCGTATGGATTCATGACAGAAGACTACAGAAAATACTCCAGCTACTATGCTGAGAAGCACCACAAAACCGACATAATTTTCTACGCCAACCATGACTATATTCTAGAGAAGAATTTATGGAAGAGCCTTCATGACAAGAAAATTATAAAGCTGTTTCAGAGAACTGGATCATAAGATGAGATCGAGATGTCAAAGCAGCCCTGAAACACAGACAATTACAGTTAAAGCATCGAGATATAAAGCAAACCATTGAAACCATGTTATAGAAACAACACATTCAGAGGTTAATTAACTCTGCTATATTTCTTATTTTTATGATGAATGATATAACTGTGAAATGTACATACAAGTCAAGATTTTTGATATGAATGCTGCAGGCAGCATTAAGAAAAACTGACATTGTGTAACTCCAGATTAAATTATTATTATATTTATTTCACACTAAATGTGTTGGGTTTATTTTTTCAATCCCTAATCTGAGAATTCCCTTTAATAAGTGAACCCTTCTAATTACTGTTGGAGAGGGCAGTAGCAAAAAATATTCTTAAATAAAATGAGAAACTGACAAACTGTTCCCTCTCAGAGAAGAACACGGGGGGACCATTAATCACAAACACAACTCAGAAACACATTTCAGAAACAAACGCACTCTGTACTGTACGTCAGTTCCTGAACTGGGACTGTATGCTATTATTTTGGGAATTAACTTTTTTCTCTTCCACATAATGTCCCCTTAATAAGTGAAAACTTATTATCAGCAAAGAGAGAATTTTCTTTTATATGTATACAATATTAGCATGCAATATAGAAATATATAGTAGAATATATGTGGTATTCTTAAAGTGGGTAAATAAAATAAAATGTGAATGAATATAGGGAATAATAAAGAAGTCAAATTATTTACAGAAATTAAGCAACCTAAGATGATTGCTCTAGATCTTCAATTTTACGTTCAGCTAATTAATTAGGGTCCTATATAAGGTCCCTATGCGCACATTATTTTAAGTATTTTAGACTATGTAAATTTAACTATTTGTTAATTACGCCAAATTCGGCTACCCTACAGCTCGCCACAGGCCTCCTCCAACCACATCGCTCATTGCTCACCCATTGTGGACAAACACCATTGTCCTTCAAACCCACAAACTTGTTCACTAGAGGGGACCCAGGGTCCGATGAGGCCTTCCAATCAAAAAACCCACCCCTCCTAACAGGCGGGAAATCTTGCTCTCGGACCAATCTGAACAGTATCTTGCCATGTATTTTAAGGACCTTAAAAGCTTATCCGGTCCTGTTCCATCATTCCTATCATCAAAATAAGTGGCGATTGCTCTAAGACTGCAAGGGAAGCTCAGCTTCCCCTAAAATGTCAAAAAATAAGTGATCAAATATATACTGTTGTGTGTACATGTCATTGACTAAATATGCGCTACAACGCGCTCAACTTTTATTCAGAATCAGCTTATCACTGGTAACGATGCAGCTTTCCTCTCACTCATTCCCGCAGCTTCACAGTGCTTTAAACAGTGAGTTCAATAGCGAAGCAAAAATGCTGGGCTTTGTCCCGCCCATCGGACGCTCAGCGTCTCTGGGGTCTATGGGGCAGTGGGCTGGCCTCGGCTGGCCCGGACGCTCAGCTTCTGAATGATCAAAATATATATGAACAGAAAATATTTGTCATGCTGAACCTCAGGAGCAGAATATGGCCAAATTAAGGATGATAAACATTAAAAGATTGAAACAAAATAAAGACAAAGCTTGAGGGTATAACAGGAAGCATGGAAAAACACCAGTCAGGCTCTCAGCAGCGTTGTAGTTTAACTCAAATACCATCTACGTGTCCATAGGGTGGGCCACTCCAGTGTGCAAAATGGTCCTGAAAAATCCAGTCTCTGGGTTGGTCACTCCCAGGTGTCATCATGAGAATACTGACTAGTATCTTACTTGACCTTGACCATGACCTTGTAGTACTACAATTCTAATTAAGTAGCCTTCATCACTATATAACTGGATCCTTGATGTATCGATAATCCGATTCCAGAGTCCAGATTTGTGTTTCTGTCCACATTTCATGTCATATTAACACTTTTCCAGCATTTAAAATCAGCAATTTAGCAGATTTGTGCAAAAGAATGGCCCAGAATTTATTATTCTGCACAGAATTGTTTTATGATCAGTAATTGATCATAATACAATAAAAAAGTGGGTTGCATGGTGGCGCAGTTGGTAGCACTGTTGGCTTGCAGCAAGAAGGTCCTGGGTTCAATTCCTGGCTTTCTGCATGGAGTTTGCATGTTCTCCCCATGCATGCGTGGGTTCTCACCAGGTACTCCGGCTTCCTCTCACAGTCCAAAGACATGCCTGTTAGGTTAATTGGTAACTCTAAATCTCCCTTAGGCCAAGGACTACCGAACCATTCTTGAGGACCATGTGCATCCAATGGTTCAAACATTGTATCCTGAAGGTGGTGCCATGTATCAGGATGACAATGCACCAATACACACAGCAAGACTGGTGAAAGATT